CAGTGGTCTGAACAAGGTCTCCTTTTTGCGCTTGTGTAAACGAACAATTTCCTCATTTGGGGTTGACAACTCCAGTTGTCTGGACAGCATCGGCTTCTCGACGTCAGTTTCCTGCTTCTGTATATCTCAGACTTAAACCCCCTCCCCTCCCCCTCACTCGCCCTCCCCGCCCCAGTTTCACTCATTAAGTGGAAACTGCTGGCATTTTTCCAGCTCGGAAACCAAAGAAGACAGGAAACTTCACGAGAGCGGTCCATAAAAGCGTAACCCCAAAAATTCAAATTTAGCTTCCGCATCAAATCAGGTCTTACGCACCAATCTCTAAAAGTTTTAGAAATTTTTTAGCTCTGAAATCAGAAAAGTTAAGAAGCCTATGTTTTAACAAGGGCTTTATGTTCATGCGCGATTCTGTGATCTAAATTTGTCTTTTAAATGCGCCCGGGTTTCATTTACATATACGTGAAATTGTTGGCAGGGGATTTTCTAGCTCAAAAGCTAGTGGGACATTTCACTGGCTTCTGTGCGCATCATTAACTGCAGGCGTTTGCTGGACAAAACTAAGCAAAAACGCACGATCGCATCGGCTAATCTGGTGCGCCCTGCTACTTATTTTGTTTTTTCTTGCCATGGTTTTTGAAAGACAATTTTATTTTTCGAACATATACGAAGTGGAAGCTCTTTTTATGCTGTATTTAACTGTGATTGCTGCTTAAAGCAAATTGCTACTGTGCATCAGTGATTTGCTATCGTGAAATCAACGCAGTTTTAGACCTCATTTGAGAGCAGTAGATTCAGCCCAGGTGCGAAAGCTGGATAGGAGTTGGGTGATGTCCACTTCTGTTTTCCTTTTACAACCCCAGCATTTTAATATTATAGTCATAGTATAAGATGGTAACTGTCAGCAGCTCTGTTAATGGTGATTGCTGTCGACAGACTGCCGGCACTCTACTAACTTCAAACTTCTCGGCCGTTTTTGGTGTGTGAGATGTGGTGGAAGTTTACTTTAGTATTGAAAAACGAGCTTCAAACCTGTTTGGGAAGGAGAATTGACTGCGGTGGCCACACACCAATAATCATTAGCACTTTGGTTCTTTGTGGCGCCATGGTTTTATGTGTCGTCATTGCCTTATCAATTTATTTTCACCTTTTTTTATGACGCCAGAACGTGTGATGTTTCACGTTATATATCAACAGACACAGCGCATTTTTTAG